AGTCCATAAGCACAGATGAAGGTTATCAAGAATCTGGAAAGATTCTGTATGGAGTAATGGTCTAAGATGCCTCCCAATGATTTCTTCAATCTCATAAAACATTTTTTTTAAAGGCTCAGTGCTGTTATTTTCTCAAGGTGAGGTATTGAACGGTAGTGAAAACAGGGGTGTCAATAGTTTTGAAAAGTAGTTCCTCGAAAAGAGATGATTACTTGATAAACAAAATCTCTTTCTCTGAGCAATTGTATACATTTTTTTGGAGCATACGATATACATTAGCTCCGTGTTTGTATAGTTTATTTTATACAGTATTTTTTGCTCATCTTTATCAAGGGTGCCAATACTTCTGGAGCTGACTCTATATTCTATCACACATCAAAGTCAATATTTTAAAGTCAATATCTATCATGGTTTCTCACCTTGTTTTTCATAGATCTGAATGACAAAAATCTATTTCATGTTGAAGACATACACTACACGGCCAAAAGTATGTGGACACCTGCTCGTCGAACATCTCATTCCAAAATCATGGGCATTAATATGGAGTTGGTCCCCCATTGCTGTTATAACAGCCTCCACTCTTCTGGGAAGGCTTTCCACTAGATGTTGGAACATTGCTGCGGGGACTTGCTTCCATTCAGCCACAAGACTATTAGTGAGGTCGGGCACTGATGTTGGGGGATTAGGCCTGGCTCGCAGTCGGTGTTCCAATTCATCCCAAAGGTGTTCGATGGGGTTGAGGTCAGGGATCTGTGCATGCAGGCCAGTCCACACTGATCTCGAAAAACCATTTCTGTATGGACCTCTCTTTGTGCACGGGTCATTATCATGCTGAAACAGGAAAGGGCCTTCCCCAATCTGTTGCCACGAAGTTGGAATCACAGAATTGTCTAGAATGTAATTGTATGCTGTAGCGTTAAGACTTCCCTTCACTGAAACTAGCACGAACCATGTAAAACAGCCCCAGAACATTATTCCATTATTCCATTCCTTTACAGTTGGCACTATGCATTGTGGCAGGTAGCGTTCTCCTGACATCCGCCAAACCCAGATTTGTCCGTCGGACTGCCAGATGGTTTCCACTGCTCCAGAGTCCAATGGCGGCAAGCTTTACACCACTCCAGCCGACGCTTGGCACTATGCATGGTGATCTTAGGCTTGTGTGAGGCTGCTCGGCCATGAAAACCCAATTCTTGAAGCTCCCGACGAATAGTTATTGTGCTGACGTTGATTCCTGAGGCAGTTTGTTACTCGGTAGTGAGTGTTGCAGAACATTTTTACGCGCTACGCGCTTCAGCACTCGCCGGTCCCGTTCTGTGAGCTTGTATGGCCTACCATTTAGCGGCTGAGCCATTGTTGCTCCTAGACGTTTCCACTTCACAATAACATCACTTACAATTGACAGAGGCAGCTCTAGCAGGGCAGAAATGTGAAATTCACTGAGCTCTTCAGTACGGGCCATTCTACTACCAATGTTTGTCTATGGAGATTGCATGGCTGTGTGCTCGATTTTATACACTTCTCAGCAACGGGTGTGGCTGAAATTGCCGAATCCACTAAGTTGAAGGGGTGTCCACATACTTTTGGCAATGTAGTGTATCTCCTCATCTCACATAACACATAGTTATAATTCATACATTTTTTATATTAAGAACAAATTAAGGGCACTATTGCAGGGGATTTCCGACAAAAGTCATGTTTTTCTAGGTCAGGGAAGTGAGAGTGCAGTCAGTGGACATCAGATGTCCCATCTAAGAGTTAGTATAGGATTCTCAGAAATAATTTAAAAACATTTTTAAAAGGACCGCCTAGCAGAAATACATAGTTACATTTGAGGATTTTTCATGTGTCTGATTGACTTGGAGTGTTCTACAGTGAATTGAGACCAGTTTCTGCCAACATGAAGAGAGAAAACCAGGATTTTCCCTGGAGGGGGCAGCTGTGAAAAACAAAAATAAGATAAAGTTCTCTGTCAGAGTGAGGAACGACAGATGGGGAGGGACTTTGATGACAGAGGTTCAACCTTAGTGCATCAGTGAACTACCATCACTCTCTGAAGTAGAATGTCTGCTGACCTTTTTCAGAGAGCTGATTTCTTTATGAAGAAAGATGTCAAAACCAGAATGCAATTCATGGTCTGTAAGTCGCTCTGGATAAGAGCGTCTGCTAAATGAAATAAAATAAAAAAATTAAAAAATAATGGTCAAGTGATGTGACAGGGAATAAAGAGACAATGATGATACAGCCAATGAAGACCAAATTTGACAGACATAACAAAGTGTGTATAGAGTTACCCACTTCTGGCTTTATCCCATTTATAGGATGTGGGACCAGTAAACCAGTTGATTGAAATTATTATGAGTTGAGCATTATAATTAACTTGATGTTACTTCTACATACTGAAAGTACAGTGCATTTCTTTATAGACAAGCCTGTTGAAATAAACTATAAATAAAAATCTACAAAAAAGTGAAATAAAAGTTAATCAGATGTTTTGAGGAGTGCAGCTTGGCCTCTCAAAACAGGGTTGTTAGTCTGAAGACAGAGTAATTGTTCAGTTTCCATGCAAAGATTTATCCAAAGGGTATAGTTTCCAGGTTTTGCAGTGTTTGTATAGGGTGAAACAGATGGGGATATTTGTGATGTTCCTCTGGGTACCAGCTCATGTGGGAGTAGAGGGGAATGAGGAAGTGGATATTATTGCCAAGCAGGTTCTTAAACATCCTAATGTTGAGATGGAATTGTCAATCAGTAAAGCAGAAGCCAAGGGATTAATAAGAACAGTGGTTAAAAATAAGTGGCAAGAGTTGTGGAACAGGGAGAGTAAGGGAAGACACGTATACGTTCCATGAAATGGTGGGGGCAGGGAGGTCCTCAGGCCGAGAGAGAAGGGAGGAAAGTGTAGTCACAAGGCTGAGACTGGGACACACAAGACTAAATAGTACATTGAAAGTGGTGGGGAAACATCTGACTGGAGGTGTGATCATTGCCAGGAGGAGATGGAGACAGTGGAACATGTTCTATTTCAGTGCAAGAAATATGTGAGAGAAAGGGTGCGATTGTTATTAGATTTGAGGAGTAATGGGGTTGAAGAGCCAGGATTAAGTGAACTGCTGGGGAAATCTTCAGGGGATGTAGTATTTAATTATGTATTTCGTTTCCTTAGGGAGACGAGATTATCGTGTAGGATTTAGACCTTCACTGTCTCTGGTCCACACTCCAGTCCAGTTGGTGGCGGTAATGCACCTTAAAGTTGGTTATCAACCGCCATATAAAATCCACAGAAGTAGAAGATGAAGAAGGACCATACTGGGTCAGCATTTGTAGTGCAGGAATGGGGGGTGGAAGTCAGGAAACGTATTACAGATCATCTGGCTGTATATACGGCGGAGCTGATGGCCATACTGTTGGCCTTGCAGTGGATGGAAGAAGTTAAGCCAGACAGAGTAGTTATTTGCTCTGATTCATTTACATTTTAGTCATTTAGTAGATGCTCTTATCCAGAGCGACTTGCAGTTAGTGAGTGCATACATTATTTTTACATACTGGCCCCCCGTGGGAATCAAACCCACAACCCTGGCGTTGCAAACGCCATGCTCTACCAACTGAGCTACATCCCTGCCGGCCATTCCCTCCCCTACCCTGGGCCAATTGTGCGCCGCCCCATGGGTCTCCCGGTCGCGGCCGGCTACGACAGAGCCTGGATTCGAAACCAGGATCTCTAGTGGCACAGCTAGCACTGCGATGCAGTGCCTTAGACCACTGCGCCACTCGGGAGCTGGTGCAGTGTTAATGAGTCTCCAGTCCTTCAGCTCAAGTAGCAGACAAGACCTGCTTTATGAGGTGATACAAACCCATGGCAGGATTAAACAGATGGGTATTCAGATAAGATTTACTTGGGTTCCAGCCCATGTGGGGTTGGAGGGGAACGAGGCGGTAGATGAACAGGCTAAACAAGCACTTAGTAGTGGGGATGTTGATGTTGAAGTGTGAAGACTGATATATACTACGAGTGGCGCAGTGGTCTAAGGCACTGCATCGCAGTGCTAACTGTGCCACTAGAGATCCTGGTTCGAATCCAGGCTCTGTCGCAGCCGGCCGCGACCGGGAGACTCATGGGCGGCGCACAATTGGCCCAGCGTCGTCCAGGGTAGGGGAGGGAATGGCCGGCAGGGATGTAGCTCAGTTGATAGAGCATGGCGTTTGCAACGCCAGGGTTGTGGGTTTAATTCCCACGGGGGGCCAGTATAAAAAAAAAAATATATATATATATATATGTATTCACTAAACTGTAAGTCGCTCTGGATAAGAGCGTCTGCTAAATGACTAAAATGTAAATATACAGTGATGGTGCAGAGATGGCAGGAGCAGTGGAATAGAGATAATAAGGGAAAGGCATTTATTTCAAGTACAGAGGAAAATTGGGGAGGGGAGGACAGCAGGAAGAGACAGAAGAGAGGCCAGTTGAATAAGACATTAAACGTGATAGGAAAGCATCCATCAGGAAAGTGTGATTATTGTCAGGAAATAGACTGTGGAGCATGTATTGCTACAGTGTGGGCAGTATCAGAGAGGATGAGATTTAGTATGAGGGAGAAGGGGATACAGGAAATTAGTTTAAAGAGTATATTGAGCAGAGCGTCATTAGATATATTCTCAAATATGTTGTTATCTTTTTTAAGAGAAACGGGGTTGGCAGGTAGGATTTAGTTTATCCCTGTCTCTGGCCAACACTCCAGTGCGGTAGGTGGCGGTAATGCACCATAATGTTGGATGCCAACCGCCGATAAACCCCCACTAAAGAAGAAGAAGATGAAGCAGAAGGACTCTGTTCATAGGGAGCTTTAAACCAATTTAAGGCCAATTCAAAATTGGTTGTGGTTCTTTTATTTTATGTACTAATTATATATAGGTAAAGCACCACCTTTCCAAGTAACAATTAATGAAAAATAATGTTCTGTTGCAAAAAGATTAGAGAATGTCAATCAAAAGACTAGTTTGTTCAGTTTTCTCTATTGGCTGCACCTGCTAGTTAATTGGTTGTCTTGTGGAAGTAGGGCCATGGTAAGTTTTGCTAGGCTGCAATGTGTAGTGCAAGTGTTGCCTTACAGGAAGTAAAATAAACAGAACAGTGTTGAGAAATCTCCAACAGGCATGGGGCTGAGTTATATGCTTCTGCTCTTCTCTGGCTTGTGCCTGTGCTCAATTGGTAAGATCTTCTTTTAATAGGATGAAATTGTCTGTGTTTAGTAGAAGTTGGAGGATTTGCATGTCATGTTTGAAGCCAGTTGGTTATCTTGGTTTTCTTAGGATCTGTGGATTTTGTCAACTTACGTCCACAATTAACAATTCTGATTACTTTACCATAACATAATCACACAATGTATGTAATTACAAAAATGTTGAATAATGAGTTGTCTCTTTGATCAGTAGAAATGCATGACAGTTGATCATTCTTGTGCAATAATGCAGCTATATCCTGTTGACTAGATTTCTGTTAGTATTAGGCGGTTATGGCTTGGTTTCAGTTTGTTCGTGGGGAGTCAGATTTCTCTGCTCATGTTGGTTGACTATTTATCGGTATGAGAAAAATATTGTGTGGCACTTGCCTTTGGCTACAGTTCTGACTTTGAGTTGTTGCACGGTCTTGTGTAAGCTGACCTAATTCGGTGTTTATAGGAAGAGTGTAAGACCTGTAGAACCTAAAACCTGTTACTCTAATGTAGCAAACATTTTGTGAATGTTATCTTGTGTTCAATTAGCACTTTTTGTTGTTTCCAGTCAGTTGCCACAGGTTTGTGCCTGGCGCGCCATATAATATCAGCACGAATGACAAGGGGGTCCTAAAGGCAGTGCTTCATGGGACCTATTCATTTAACAATCAGACCAATGATGCTTTCCTCTTCAAGCCATTTGCAATTGAGAAAGCAGAAAGACAGGTATGGAGGACTTACAATAACTGACAATTTATACTGGAGTAGTCCTATCGAATGTGTTCCATATGGCGTCGAAATAAGGATGAAAACTATGTTGAACTGAATAAGTTTATACTTCGCTGGTATAGTCCAACTATATTGTGAACTATACCATTTGGCATTGTTCTCCAACTCGGGTCCTCGAATACCCCCAACAGCACATTTATGTTGTAGCCCTGGACAAACTCAACTCATTGAGGGCTTGATGATTAGTTGATACGTTGAATCAGGTGTGCTTGTCCAGGGCTACAATAGAAATGAGTACTGTTGGGGCTACTCAAGGACTGGAGTTGGGAAACACTGGCGTATGGTTCACTATAGTTGGACTATACCAGTGAGGCATAAACTTCTTCAGTTCAACATAGCTTTCTGTTACAGATTGTAAGGGGACTCAAATACATTATGGAAGTAGACCTCTCACGGACTGTGTGCCGCAAAAACAGACACAGCGACACAGACCTGGCCAACTGCAAGTTCCAACCAGATGGTTTGTTACAGCAGGTATTGTACAGTACACATTTTTAGTATAGAAATAAGTAGTGCATTGAATTTAAATATGATACATTATGTTGAAGTTGTATGTATAGCAATTGGGTGAAGATCAACACTAATTTTGACTGGCGAGTGGATCATAGCTGAAAGTCAACATTGTTGGAGTGATTCATTATAATAGAGTGCATGTTTGTCTTTCAGACCTTCCACTGTGACTTTGAGGTTTGGACTATGCCTTGGCTCCACTTCATGAAGACTACCTATTTTTCTTGCAGTCCATCTGACCGACCTTCAACTTCTCCATGAAACCCAATCCTTCATGGTTTCAATGTTCTGAGGAAGTTCCTTAGCCATTTCCCTCTAAACATGATCATAACTGAGCATTTTCATTTTTCTAAATAAAATTGAGCCTTAACGTATGGTATAACAATGGCAATTACCATGTTTCTTGAGTACCAATATGTATTTTAGGGTAACTTACACAGCTACAACAACCTAAAGCCACCTAACCTTGTAATCCTCAAATAAAATGGTAGACTGCTTTGTCCCTTGCAAATTATACAATGAATTATAATTAATCATGTTTTGGCCTGAGTTAGGGTCTACACAGACTGATACATTCGGATCAATAAAATCCTAAATCCCAAACTGGATCGTCATATCCGTATGAAGGAATGAATAGAACATCTGTGCAGATGTTCTGAGCACAAACGGAACCTTGTGAACAAGGACTTGACAACCAAGCACAATGATATAAGCCCATCTAAACTTGTAGAGATTCCATCCTTTTTACGGCCCGGATTATCATTCTTCCTCAGCACTCAGTGACCTGAATCCTTTGAAAAGCCTGGTCTTGTGTCTGATACAGCCTCTAAATCATTCAAAGGCTCTTATGAAACCAGTGCAGCACCAGCAGCGTCTGATCTTGAGCGAGTAGAGAGCCAATGAGGCTGACACTGCAGCAGTGGAGGGGCCCCTCCTGCAGAGGGCAGCCCTGGGAGGAAGCTCGCTGAGTGGGTTCGGGTACTCTCCTCTGAGCTCTCAGCAACCTCTTTGAAGCAGCACTCCGTGCACCCTCTTTTGATGAGGCCCTTGATCTGATGAGCTCCACTGGCTCTGAGGCAGGGGAGGGTTTCTATGTGCGCTCATGTCTACTGTACATTTGAGGCGTACACTGACATGAGACGACCTGTCCAACTGGTTTCTCTCATTTAAGACATGCAGTGGGTCAGTAGCAGGCTAAACTTTTATTGCAGTAGTATATAAACACTAAGTAGCTAAACAAACTAGAAATGTGCCATGTTTTTCATATTATTAGACAAACTGTTTTAAAACAACTGTTTTAATTCAAAGTAAGCTCAGCTGAAGGCCGGCAGCATTCAACATTGAGCTAAAAATGGACATTCCGTTAAGCAGTTGACAGTGCAATATACAAAAGCAGACAACAGAAGAAATCAGTATGAAGTGGCACTCCTAAAATAATACGGATTCAGTGTTCTGTATTTCTACTGATAAAATTAAGTCTGAAGTACAAGAATAACATTGTCAGTTATATTTAGGGGTGAGATTAGAGCTCAGTGCAAAAAATGTGTTCAAAGTGCAGATACGGAATGATTCACACAAACGAAACAAACAAATTTGGCACCTCATTTCAACAACACAAAACACAGACCTGAAAAACAATGTACCTTACAACATGGGGATTTTTGAGCAAACAATTTAGCCCAAGGAATGCTTGGTTAAATAAAAAAGTCCTTGAGCTCCAACTGAAACACACCATCATACCTGTCAACGGAAGTTAAAGGGTTAATAGTTAATTGTGGGCCGATAAGACTAGAAAGGATGGATATGCATCCCAGTCAAATGTGCAGATACTTAATGAAGACTAGCCCATGTTTTCCTGAAGCTGGCGATAAGCAATGCAAATGCAGCACATCAAGCATTAAGCCATTCTGATCAATTCTGATTTATTTGTTGTTATTGGAAAACACTCCTTTGGGAGAGACTAGGTAGGGAGGTGTTAGGTAGGCAGAGAGCAGTCTCACAGTGTGGAACATATCGTTGCTGTCTGATAAACCTAATTTCAATTTTTGCAACATTTTATTTTTGACATGTATCGAAAGCAGCAACTCCCCTCAATGTACTCTGAACATTTCATGACTATGACCAAGAACATATATTCAAAATAGCTTCTGAAGTTTCAAAATTGTATGTTTGTTAATGGGAAAATATGGCAGTTTTTTCCATTTCCTGAAAAGTTCCTGTTTTGGAGATGAGTGGTTTTCATCAGAAAGCAACGATATATGGGTTTTGTACGAGACAGTGGTTGTGCTCAGCTCCCTGGTCAAACCTTGCTGAGATCCAGCTTGCAGAGGTAAGGGGAGCGGAAGGAGCCTAGGTAGAGGTGGCCGTCGTGCTCGTGTGCCTCGCTGACGTAGGCTGCCACCATGCCGTGGGGGTCATGGAAACTACGCATGCACGCCCCGCTCTCCTGCAGCTCTATCACCAGACTGTAGCGAGGCACAAACTTCATCAGCATGTCCTGACTGAAGAGCTGCAGGGAGAGGGGGGAGGGATGAGTCATAGCACCAACACCAGACTGAAGTAGAGACATTCTAACAAACTGGTCTCATGGTCACAATGAATGAGGTATACTTTATGTATTCCTTCAATATTTGTTAGGCAGATTTCCAGCTGGCAAGATCCCAAACCCTTGAATGCAAAAACACCTAAGAACCAGACCAATAGGAATGAATACCAGACCAATAGGAATGAATATCAGACTCATATTCACAGTAAATTGCTATCACATCATGTAATATAATCTACCTTAAAGATTAGCTTCTTTATCCAGGGCTTCTGGGCCAGAAAGTCCAGCATGGAGAATCCAGGGTTGGGCCGCACCGCTGACATGGCCACCCAGTACCCTCCAGAGGAGCTGCGACGGATGTTGTCAGGGAAACCAGGTAAGTTGTCAACAAACGTGTCCATTCCTCCCTTATTTAGACCTGACACATGGACCCTGCAGGGACACAGTCAGACACACATTTGTGGAAATTCAGGAGATGAGGGAAAGAAAGTCAATTTTGTCATGCAGATGAAGGTTAAAATGGGTTGCCTTATGCTTATGGTATGTGTGACAGGTAACAGAGGTATTATGGGAAACAATTCAAAACATTTGACAAAACTCTTGTACGAGCAGTCTTCACAATACTTTGAAGCTGTGTTATAAAAAGACAACCCAGCTTCAGAGCTCTTAGCAGCAGCAGCAGGGGATTTGGCTCAGCAAACTGTCTGCATTGATAAAGCCAAAAGCAAATGCATTAGTTATGACTATTATAAACCAGTTTTGGGAGGGAGAAAATCTACTTGCTGGGAAAACCTAAAAGACCATTTCAAATAATAAATAAATAATGAACTTACTGATTTCTATTCTGCACAGTCAGCAAATCAAAAACTTCCCCAAACTGTCTGCATTACCATATGGGCTGAAATGAACAAACAATGAACACCTCCCTCCCCCTCTATACCCACACTAGCATTGCTATAAGAGAAAGGACAAGCCAATTTTGTCTTTCTGCTCAGGCAGCTTGGTGAAGGGACTCTGTTACCAAGGCAACAGTGCACTTGCATTATTTATACACGTGAGGCTTGAGAGAATTGACTGTGCTCCCGGCAGGTTTAACAAAGTGTGCTATTACAAAGGCGAAATATATTCATGAAATCTTGATAAGGGAGAGAGAAAATAATAAAAATAAAACAAACCTGTGGGCGCACTAGGAGCACGTTCAACAAGCCGGCACCACAACAACCTAGCATCTGATGAAACATGAGATAACTACAGAACATTCAATCCCCTGTGGCCAGCATTTTGTCACTCAGTGCAGTAGTTAAATAAGGTTGGTTGTGTTGCTCAGGAGGATCAACTCTACAGTACCTGCGTATCCTAGCCATAGTAGTTTCAGCCACCAGCACAGACTCCTCATCAGGGAAAAGCTGGATCCCGTTAGCAAAACGAAGGTTCTCCATCAGCACTGTTACCTCCTTGGTCTCTGTGTCATACTCCAACACGCTATAAGACAGACAAAGGGTTACATATGGACAGCTTTGCTCAGACTTAAGGTTGTTGCCTTTATAAAGTGTTCAATTTCTTTAAAATGTAAGGTACCCGCATTATGTATCAACACAAATGCTTTTAAGTAAGGGATATAGCTTTCATTCTATAAAATTCATGATTAACATATGACAAGGCCCTATACCAGGGGTCTTCAACAGGTCGATTGCGAGCTACCAGAAGCTCGCAGCGCACCTATGAGTAGCTCACCAAACAATTCTGAAAGTACATGCAATTTTCAAGTGTTCCACCGTAAAATGTCATAAACAAATCTCACAAGTATCAGACACCGCAAGATCCCAGCTACTATCTAATCAATGCAACATTGACATTATCCACCCCTGGTTAGCCACTATTGGCTTAAAAAGCCAAACCAAACACAATATCTGCCAATTAATTTCCAGAAGTACTTTCCCCAAAACGTTCTCAATTAAATGTTAACTGCAAAGTAAGCTTACCTGACAGAAGTATATCATGAGTAAGTATATAATTTGTATCAATTATTTGTTATTTGCAAACTTTGTCATGAAATGAGCAGCAGCACAGAACCATCGCTAGATAGCACATTCCTCACTCGATGAGCAATTAAAGGGCCAGATGCGCAATTAAAGGGGAATTACACTCCAAAATCCAAATTTGTTAGTTTTCTTCCAGACATAAAATACAATTGTCTCCTGATGTGATTTAAGCATTGATATGGACTCAGAAGATTCAATTTCATTGTTTCTCTACGAACAATTATAATTTTGAGATTGAAAAACGAAAACATCTAAAACCAGGAAAAATACAACTGAGCGAATATAATTTGGGAAAATATTAAACAGAATTTGGGAGAAAACAATTACAGATTTTACAGGGCCCCCTTACAGTTGTTAATTAACCATTATTTTACCAGTTATATTGACAGAAAACATAGTGAACTACTTTCTCTTGTACACTAAGGACCCGGGGAAGAGTTGTAGGGGAGAGGAGAAGAGAAGGATGTGCCTATTTGAAAGCTAGAAAGAAATGAGTAGCTCACAACACCTTTCATTTTTTAAAAGTAGCTCTCATGCTAGAAAAAGGTTGGAGACCCCTTCCCTATATGCATAACATTTCAACAGAAACTCTTGACAAAGTAGACAAGAACTTGCTATTAGAATGTGCTCAAGGCTCTTCATAAATTCTGTGGTAACAGTTACCGTCCATCTGCTGTGGCCTCCATGATGAGATGAAGGTAGTCTCTGCGCTGCCACCTGCTGCTAGAGTCGGTGAAGTACACTTTCCTCCCATCCTGTGTTACATCCAGGTCATTGACAAAGGAGAGCCTCCGGCCCCCAACCATCTGTCCAGCCGACACCAGGTTGGTCACCTCACCTTTATAATGAGTCAAAGAGAGAGAGTTACATCACTAAAATGACTTGCATAATCCAGCACTTTTATTTTGAGGATAGTATTTTCAACAAAATTGATTATACTAAGTATAAGGTGAAATTGTTGGAAAACCTAAAACAAATATTTAATTCCTCGCAAAAAACAAACAGGTCTTTGTCACATTATTGATATTAAAATCTATCCTGTAAGGAAATAGAAAACTGTGATGCCATTGCTGTGTGTGCTGCTTACCTGTGACAGGGTTGACCTCGAACAGCCCCAGGTAGGCGTCGGCTACGAACAGGGTGCCGTTAGGACCCACTCTGATACCCAGGGGTCGTCCACAGCTAGGCTCCTGTTCACGGGATCCATCTACAATAAAAGTACATAACACAGTGGATATGAGGTATGTAAAGTAATTCATAATTTATTGGGTGCAATTATTTAAATCATTTTGAACAGGCTAATCTGATTAATATGAGCAAATACTTGGGTTAGAGCTCAGTCTATTCTTGACATGTCTTTTCAGTTTTGAGCCAATATGCTAGGCCTGTTGTGCATTAAGCCATCCTTGTTGTGTAAGCAGAAAAACAATCAATAAAGGTCATGAGTGAAATGCATCTACTAAGAGTTGCTTATGAATGAGCATTTGAAACTCCAGTTTTGAGCAATGGGAACTGTTGGGTCATTTGTCTAAATCATGTCATGTTGAGGGTAGAGACAACATTGTGTAATGAAAGCTTATGAAATCAGACGGACACAATGTGTGAGTAATCAGTTAGTCAAAGCCCCTTACTCACTTACCACAGGGTGGCTTGCCAAGTCTGGCTATAACAGTGATGCTCTTGCCCTCAATCTTCACTATCTTTCCATCAGCCGTACCAGTGTAAATCACATCTATAGAGAGAGATAAACAATCAAAATGTGTATTTAGATACTGGTCAAAAGTAAAGGCAATATGTTGGACATCAGAATAGAACAACCGTTGCAGAAGTAAACTAGTAAAGCACAAGTCAAATGTGACAATGTGTCATGCCAAATACCTGTCCGTCACTAAGACCACGCAGTATGTGCAGATTTGGAAACTTAAGCATCTGCTATTATTGGTCAACACCGCCATCCAGACAGCATTACCCCAGCATTGCCCCCTCAGCTTTGAACTATTAGACTGCTGTTACTGTTGAATCCCCACAAATTACACAAGCCCAAACAAACTGGGTGAAAGATATGAAAGACATTGTCATGTGGCGAGACTCCAGCTGGAATACTCTAGCCTAGCCTCATACTGACCTCCAAAGTTAGCAATAGACTCTGGGCCAACAAGCTGGTCCTCAAACAGCCGCTCTGCCTCCCTCAGCTTAAAGTTGGCCTCGTAACACCCAGACATAAGGGGCGGCTCATTGAGGCTGAAAAGACAAGAGGAAAGAAATTAGGGAAAATAATCAGTATGAATCACTGATCAACACCCTTGTCCCAGTCTAGCCTTTACCCTGAAGCCTAGTGCTGTGGAGAAATAAGAGAGGACATCCTTGGCCCCAAGACCTCAGAATGGATCATTAAGTGTGGATGCAGAATTGAGCAATGAATTCTAATGAGGAGAGGGAGACGCATGCTATTTGGTCTGAGGGGCAGACTGGTAATAAATTAGATCAGCTTTGTCTATGACCCAAGGCCATTGTGCAAGTAGGGACAGCAAATCACTCAGCATAATAGCATTAATAGAGAATGCAGTATTTAGAAATGTGGCTATGCAGTTGTGGAGACATAGGGGTTGTTGTGGCAGAGGCAGTGGGGATTCTGGACTGACTGGAAGCGCCTAAAAGAAAATTGCAACCGTGCATTCAAACTTTGAGCCGAGTGCCTCATCAATCTTTCTTCAATCAATAATTAAGCAATTACTGAAAAAGTCATGTTTGGCTAAGCATTTTGTCTTTGCATCAGAACATCTAGGCCTACATGATCAATTCTATTGATAAGGGATGACTGAAACCATTCTACATACTGACATTATATACTACCTAATATGTATGTTATACAAGTAACAGTGGAGTGAGATCTGTGAGAAGGACTTGTGCTACACATGTACAGAACAGTTTCCACAAACCGACATCCAGAAAGTTAAAAAGTAAGCAGAAATGTTGACTATGCAGACTGATTCTAAAGTATCTTGTAGTAAAGCTGATTAAACAGTTGTTGATGTGCCCTTGAGCAAGGCACTTAATCCTAATTGCTCCTGTAAGTCGCTCTGGATAACAGCGTCTGCTAAATGACTAAAATGTAAATGTTAACCTTCCTTGAAGTCAATACATTTCTGAGACATTAGAGTGAACATGATTCTAAAGACCAGGAGAAAAAAGAGAGAAGGATTTCAATTCTTGACAGCTCACCTGAGAAGCTCAGGGTGAATAGGAGACTCAAGCAGAAAAAAGACTACAAGCAATGGAAGGATCAGGCATCCTCCCAGGGTCACCAGGATCACACGGAATACCTTTCCACTATAGGTACTGGGAAAAACAAAACATATAACAAATTAAAGCCGCCCAACACTTTTTTTATACAGCTGAGGAAATGTTACCTCTTCAAATTCATAGGGCTCTAGATGCAAGGACTGAGAGTCTATGACATTCATATGATAAATATTTGTAAGCCATACACTGTTGGTTTACGTTGTTGTTGTCTGTAAACAATGGAGTAGGCCTATAACCTTTATATTTTGGGTTATAAGTTATGACAGTTGTGTTAAGCTCCTGAGGCATAGGGCTAAGTTATATTCTTCCAAGAATCAATGGGTATATTGAACAGATTCCCAGATCCCAGACTGTAGCTTTAATATCAATTTGTTATTGGGTGTTTGAAGAGATCCATGAACTCTGGTCAACAGTGGATGATACAGTACTCAAACATACACACAGAATGCACATGCATCTATTTTCAGAGAGAACGCATCTATGAAAAACTTGAATAGGCCTTACTATCAATAGCCTACACTAAGTGCATGCTGGTCAATGCGTTCTCCACTTATTACTGACAGTTTGGTTCATACCATGCATGCATAATGCAAAGTAATTGCATAGTCAGTGAGTGTAAAACTGACCTAGATATGGCTTGTTTACCTCTGCATCTGCCATCAGCTAGGAAGCGCAAATGAGAATCACCCAGTCTGATACACAGTGGTTGATTGTGCATCTGTGCGTGATGCAATACTACAGTAGCAAGGAAAGCAGCATCTGATGTTAATATCAATACTGAGTAAAATAGCTTACCTGGTGCCCTTGTATTGGGGTTCCTGTAATTCGTCTGTGATGATCTGTGGTCTGTTCAGTCTCCTGAACCGCAGTCCCTCTGGCTCATTCATATTGAAATGAGACTTCTTCTACTATGACTCTATTATCCAAGAATTATGTTTCAAGTAAGAAGCTCGCTACATGAGTAGGTAGATAATTTGATTGGTTGTAAAGACAGACAAATACAGGATATCGTAGGGATATCTACAGTATTCGACGAGCCTTCCCACTGGACAGCTTTTTCGCAATACGCATTTTTTTCTTCCATGTCAGGCGAGAGCTGCCGTCTCTAAATCATTGATGTTCAACGCCACCTTCTGTTGTGGAGTGTGCACTACAGACCTTTTTTTGAGACGTCATATCGCCAGAGATACTGGATATAATGACGAGATGCTTATGTCTCCGCCCTAACAATGGGATTCGTCGTCAATAGAGCAGAACGGCGGGCTGTCAAGCTCCCGCCTATTCCTCTCTTTGGATTGGTGGATACATCTCATTATTTAAATACTTTTTTGAATATTCGATGAGGGGTGTTGACGTCAACCACCTGTATTCAATGGAGAGTGATATGCCATGCTATTTTCATGAGTATGCATCACAGGAGGTTGGTGGCACCTTAATTGGGGAGGACAGGCTTGTGGTAATGGCTGGAGCGGAATCATTGGAATCGTATCAAATACATCAAACACATGGTTTGATGCCATTCCATTTGCTCCGTTCCAGACATTATTATGAGCCGTCCTCCCCTTAGCAGCCTCCACTGGTATGCATAGACTGTTTCGAACTCTGATATAAGGTGTTTTTTCTCAAAGTTGCCAGGATGTGAAGTGCATCACACTTATCAGTACACTCGTAACAACCTAAGCATTACGAAACTTCTATTAGATCAAATAAACCTCACAAATCAAAATAGCAATTCATTTTTTTCTTGACTAAATTCAACACTCTCTCATTGCCCCTGCCCTGTGGTGATACTGATGATTTGTTGCCACAGATGGTTTGTTTACATAGCAGGTTAGGATAATTAATGTGTCAGGTTAGGAGAACTAATGCAGCAGGTTAGGTGAATTAAAGTAGCAGGTTAGGAGAATGGAGTTAAGGTTAGGAAAAGGGTTAGGGTTAGGCTTAGCTTGTCAACAACTGTTGTCCCCGACGCGACCACTAGATGGAGGTGTAGGCCTACTCCAGGGGTGAACGTAAGGAGGTAAGGTCTGGTACTGCATCCCGGCAAAATAAATAGTGGGGGTACGCCGTACAGGTAAAACAAAACAAATTTTTTTTTTAAAGAAAATGTCAAGAAAACTGTAGGCTATTACACCATCATTTATCATTACCGCATGTCAGAGGCATGAAAAATGTGCGAATGGACTTGAAAACAGGTGGTATAGCCTAGGCTTCAAAATGTGATGTCGTTCGTCAAGAACACTGAAGTTTTGCCAAGGCAGAGATGAGTGGCCGACACCGAGACGCGCGGACAGCAGTGGGCGCATAAATTCTGGCCTACTGACAATTGCCAAATGTCATTAGGTCTACACTTTTTGGTGTTTTGTGTAAAAGACGTCCCTTTCCATTCCAGTGTGTAGTGGCTTAGCATGTCAATCTTGGTGGGGAAAACAAAACAAAAATTTGGGGATGCCTGCCAGCTAAGCCACTACACAACACAACACTAAACAATTCATTAATTGCACTATAACGGTGACAAATGCTGCCCACAAACTGTTAGGGCCTACATAAAGCTGTCCCAACTGCAGAGTCCCAACAGCAGTCCCAACACCTTACCACTGCTACACCTGGCTATCAGCGGAGCCTTGTCTGGCAGCGAAACAGTTCATTCAGCCTAATTTACTACCTTTAAAAAAAACATAGCTGATATGGCTGACTTGCTTAAAAAAATGTGGTTTCTACTGACAATTTAGATGTACAAACTGTGGCATAAGGGGATGACAAGCGGATAAGAGGCAATCCATAATTTCAATTAAAACATTAATGAGCGAGCTAGGACGGACGTAGTCAATATAACTATTTGTTTAGCACTTTTGAAATGTACAGCGACAGAATTCAGAACATGGGCCGTTCTTACAGTGTTCTCCCTGTACACCAAGTCAGAACCGTAGGATAAATAAAGGGGGCATATAAGCAGACAATAAAAGCTCTTCCAATATTCTATGGTTACATTTCTCTATAACAGGTTATAGGCTACATGTGCACCACCAAGTCAGAACAGTAAGCAAAATTAAGAGGGGAAAATATACCAAATTGTTAGGGTGAGGCACATGGGCTGCTAACAGCTTACTACACAACATACACTCACATTTACATAATTTAGCACACTTAGTATTACTTTCTTAGCTACAGTATACATACCTCCCTGGCTTATTACATAATTTATGCAGCAGAATACAAGACATCTTTGGACTCACCTTGTTGTGCTGTGCTCACTTGAACGGGAAGGTTTCGTGGCGGTCCTTCGTGGGCAAATTTTGTCATCAAACTGTCATCAAAGTCTGGCATTCTCTGGATTTATGGTGCTTTCAAGACAACTGGGAACTCTGAAAAAAACATGGTTGAATCATGATGACGTCAGTGATCTTCAGGTCGTAGCTCTAGAAAGAGGCAGAGTTCCCGACTTACAATTCCGAGTTGGATGACGTTCAAAACGTATTTTCCCAGTCTGAGTTCGTTTTTTCCCGAGTTCCCAGCTGTCTTGAACTCACTGAAGTCAGATTTCCCAGATCCGAGTCAACAGTTGTTTTGAGTATGGCAGAAATCATGCTGGATTGACAGCATGGCCAATGTTGAATGTTTATAATTTTAAGCTTGGAAAGGAGACCCTTAAACCCAGACTTGGGACCACACAGACACTCCACTGAATAACAGGCTAGTGATTTCTTTGCAATGCTTGCAGGTAGCCAATGATTCCATCCAAACCACTCATTGTTGAATTTGCGATTTCCAACTTGTTGTGTAATGTTGGCTGATGAGCACCGATATGTTTTATCTATAATTTCTCTTCATATGACAAGGATTAAAAAGGATTTGCCAGTAGATTGTCGACTTGATTAATGATGATGACTGCTAGCTAAGATTTTGAAAGTATGATGTTAACATGATCAGTCCAATCAAAGCTACTGTAGATATAACGTGATTTGACGTCATTTTATCTGTGGCCAATGACCTTGAGCCTTCTTGGATGGGTACTTCTAATGTAACTCTATGGCAGCACCCAAGGGGCTTGAATTTTCGCGCTCTACCCTTAGATTTGGTGGTAACTAGTGTCCCCATGAGTGACAGAACACTGAGCCAATCACGGCGCAACTAGAGAACATTACCAACCCGCTGGCTGCCCCACCACAGAAAGCACTGAGCTAGGCTGAAACACCTGCATTTTGGAGCTTCCTTACTCAAGAAAGCAAAAAAGAGACCATGTTTGTATGCGGCTTTATTAACTAAATTATTACAGTGGGGAAAATAAGTATTTAGTCAGCCACCAATTGTGCAAGTTCTCCCACTTAAAAAGATGAGAGAGGCCTGTAATTTTCATCATAGGTACACGTCAACTATGACAGACAAATTGATTTTAAAAAATCCAGAAAATCACATTGTAGGATTTTTAATGAATTTATTTGCAAATTATGGTGGAAAATAAGTATTTGGTCACCTACAAACAAGCAAGATTTCTGGCTCTCACAGACCTGTAACTTCTTCTTTAAGAGGCTCCTCTGTCCTCCACTCGTTACCTGTATTAATGGCACCTGTTTGAACTTGTTATCAGTATAAAAGACACACTCCAAACTCCACTATGGCCAAGACCAAAGAGCTGTCAAAGGACACCAGAAACAAAATTGTAGACCTGCACCAGGCTGGGAAGACTGAATCTGCAATAGGTAAGCAGCTTGGTTTGAAGAAATCAACTGTGGGAGCAATTATTAGGAAATGGAAGACATACAAGACCACTGATAATCTCCCTCGATCTGGGGCTCCACGCAAGATCTCACCCTGTGGGGTCAAAATGATCACAAGAACGGTGAGCAAAAATCCCAGAACCACACGGGGGGACCTAGTGAATGACCTGCAGAGAGCTGGGACCAAAGTAACAAAGCCTACCATCAGTAACACACTACGCCGCCAGGGACTCAAATCCTGCAGTGCCAGACGTGTCCCCCTGCTTAAGCCAGTACATGTCCAGGCCCATCTGAAGTTTGCTAGAGTGCATTTGGATGATCCAGAAGAGGATTGGGAGAATGTCATATGGTCAGATGAAACCAAAATATTACTTTTTGGTAAAAACTCAACTCGTCGTGTTTGGAGGACAAAGAATGCTGAGTTGCATCCAAAGAACACCATACCTACTGTGAAGCATGGGGGTGGAAACATCATGCTTTGGGGCTGTTTTTCTGCAAAGGGACCAGGACGACTGATTCGTGTAAAGGAAAGAATGAATGGGGCCATGTATCGTGAGATTTTGAGTGAAAACCTCCTTCCATCAGCAAGGGCATTGAAGATGAAACGTGCCTGCGTCTTTCAGCATGACAATGATCCCAAACACACCACCCGGGCAACGAAGGAGTGGCTTCGTAAGAAGCATTTCAAGGTCCTGGAGTGGCCTAGCCAGTCTCCAGATCTCAACCCCATAGAAAATCTTTGGAGGGAGTTGAAAGTCCGTGTTGCCCAGCGACAGCCCCAAAACATCACTGCTCTAGAGGAGATCTGCATGGAGGAATGGGCCAAAATACCAGCAACAGTGTGTGAAAACCTTGTGAAGACTTACAGAAAACGTTTGACCTGTGTCATTGCCAACAAAGTGTATATAACAAAGTATTGAGAAACTTTTGTTATTGACCAAATACTTATTTTCCACCATAATTTGCAAATAAATTCATAAAAAATCCTACAATGTGATTTTCTGGATATTTTTTTCTCATTTTGTCTGTCATAGTTGACGTGTACCTATGATGAAAACTACAGGCCTCTCTCATCTTTTTAAGTGGGAGAACTTGCACAATTGGTGGCTGACTAAATACTTTTTTCCCCCACTGTATATATAATTTTACATTGTTTGCAAACTGATATGTGACACGTATTAATGCCAAAACAGGCAACCCCCTCAAAAAAATGTGAGGCTCAAAACAGGTGGGGCTCTGCCCTGAATGACGGGTCACCACTGTTCCATTCACCACTGTTTGGAGGCTAGAAATATGTTGCGAGTGGATGAACGTGCGCGGGTAGCCGAGTAAAGGAGCCCTTTGAAGTGATTGTTTGACAATCAGATGGAAACTGCTTGTGTTTATGCAACAATAAAAGGTAATACATTTTAAAAGTTAAAAGACAAATCTTTACGACTAGGCCCACAGAGATCCTATTGAATTAATAGGGATTCTATATGTAATTCTATGATTAGGCCCATAAAAAATGTTGGTGCATGAGGTCCCATAACGGGAAGATATTATAACTACTTTCACCCCTGGCCTACTCCATCTTGCCACAATGGTAGAAATATAAACAAACCACTTTCTTAATAATTAATTATCTGCTTAACGTGGACAGATTTTGGGCAGAGTAAATAAACCCTCTCGCTTCGCCTCCTCTTCTCTGATATTACATTTTAGTCATTTAGCAGACGCTCTTATCCAGAGCGACTTACATGAGCAATTAGGGTTAAGTGCCTTGCTCAAGGGCACATCGACAGATTTTTCACCTAGTCAGCTTGGGGATTAGAACCAGCGACCTTTCGGTTACTGGCACAACGCTCTTAACCACTAAGCTACCTGATATCACCCAATGCAAACTTCCTTGCCCCATGGCCATGAATGATTACATGTGACACTGGCTATGTCCCAGTTATATTCCTCCCTCCCAAAGTGTGCACTTGTTCACTTTCCTTCACTGATTTGAAAGGTATGACTGGTATAACAAATCTGGTGGAAACCCATGCCTCTACAATTCCAATGCATTTAGGGCAGATTTTCTAAATTTTGGGTTTAAAAAATGCATCATCTGGGACCATTGGGTAGGCTACTTTAAATTCCAATGTGTTTTGTATTTTTGTTTATTTTCACAGTTTTTGTGTTGTCGGTGGTTGGTAATGTTAAAGCGGCAATCTGCAGTTGCTACATCAATTTTTTGACTTATAAATTAATGATATGTACCCATTGATTCTTGGAGAATATAACTTAGAAATGCCTCATGAGCTTTGTTCAACTGTCATACCCCATCAGAACCCAAAATATGTTTTTTTTACTATAATGTTTGTAAACAAAGTAAATGCAAACAAACACCGTATAGCCTCAAAACATGGTTAATACTATCATATTGATATTATGGATGGTCACTCCTTGCATCCATAGCTCTGTCTATGAATTTAAGAGTGGTAACAGTTCTCCATCCACATCCCTCAGCTTTTTACCAAAACAGCGAACACTTTGTTATTGTTTCAACTGCGGATTGCCCCTTTAAGCAACTGTGATGTCACAATGCACATACTCCTGGGGTGACTCTGGTCGTGTTCTCTTGCTCAGACGTTGCATGCGTCAACCAATGGTTGCGTGCCATGTCATTGACTGTCATCGACTGACAGGTTGCTATAACAGATGATGTGATTAGCTGATACGTAAAATACCTATCCAGGTGTTGTAAGATCTGGCATGTGTCAGCAACACCTGGGCAGAGGAATGCACCCATTATTTGCTGTTGCAGAGCAGTTCAAACTGCCAGTAGGGGAGTTGTAGCAGTCTGACTGGTCCTCCACCCTAGTGTTCTAGGCGGAGATCTTTGGCTTCACTGTTTGAGTCTGCTCAGAGCACCCTGAAACAAGTGATGCTGGAGGTAGGCTGCTCTACAGGAACTCTCTCCTACAGAGTGACCACCTCCTCGCACCTGGGGAAGACGGCAAAGGGCCAGGAGAAGTCTCCGCTCTGACAGGGGTCCCCTCAGAGCAGTTTAAATTGCCAGTAGGGGAAGCAGCAACCTGACCGGTCCTCCACCCTGGATTTCATTTACATTTACATTTTAGTCATTTAGCAGACGCTCTTATCCAGAGCGACTTACAGTTAGTGAACACATACAGTGGGGAAAAAAAGTATTTAGTCAGCCACCAATTGTGCAAGTTCTCCCACTTAAAAAGATGAGAGAGGCCTGTCATTTTCATCATAGGTACACGTCAACTATGACAGACAAAATGAGAAAAAAAAATCCAGAAAATCAAATTGTAGGATTTTTAATGAATTTATTTGCAAATGATGGTGGAAAATAAGTATTTGGTCAATAACAAAAGTTTCTCAATACTTTGTTATATACCCTTTGTTGGCAATGACACAGGTCAAACGTTTTCTGTAAGTCTTCACAAGGTTTTCACACACTGTTGCTGGTATTTTGGCCCATTCCTCCATGCAGATCTCCTCTAGAGCAGTGATGTTTTGGGGCTGTCGCTGGGCAACACAGACTTTCAACTCCCTCCAAAGATTTTCTATGGGATTGAGATTTGGAGACTGGCTAGGCCACTCCAGGACCTTGAAATGCTTATTACGAAGCCACTCCATCGTTGCCCGGGTGGTGTGTTTGGGATCATTGTCATGCTGAAAGACCCAGCCACGTGTCATCTTCAATGCCCTTGCTGATGGAAGGAGGTTTTCACTCAAAATCTCACGATACATGGCCCCATTCATTCTTTCCTTTACACGGATCAGTCGTCCTGGTACCTTTGCAGATAAACAGCCCCAAAGCATGATGTTTCCACCCCCATGCTTCACAGTAGGTATGGTGTTCTTTGGATGCAACTCAGCATTCTTTGTCCTCCAAACACAACGAGTTGAGTTTTTACCAAAAAGTTATATTTTGGTTTCATCTGACCATATGACATTCTCCCAATCCTCTTCTGGATCATCCAAATGCACTCTAGCAAACTTCAGAGGGGCCTGGACATGTACTGGCTTAAGCAGGGGGACACGTCTGACACTGCAGGATTTGAGTCCCTGGCGGCGTAGTGTGTTACTGATGGTAGGCTTTGTTACTTTGGTCCCAGCTCTCTGCAGGTTATTCACTAGGTCCCCCCGTGTGGTTCTGGGATTTTTGCTCACCGTTCTTGTGATCATTTTGACCCCACGGGGTGAGATCTTGCGTGGAGCCCCAGATCGAGGGAGATTATCAGTGGTCTTGTATGTCTTCCATTTCCTAATAATTGCTCCCACAGTAGATTTTTTCAAACCAAGCTGCTTACCTATTGCAGATTCAGTCTTCCCAGCCTGGTGCAGGTCTACAATTTTGTTTCTGGTGTCCTTTGACAGCTCTTTGGTCTTGGCCATAGTGGAGTTTGGAGTGTGACTGTTTGAGGTTGTGGACAGGTGTCTTTTATACTGATAACAAGTTCAAACAGGTGCCATTAATACAGGTAACGAGTGGAGGACAGAGGAGCCTCTTAAAGAAGAAGTTACAGGTCTGTGAGAGCCAGAAATCTTGCTTGTTTGAAGTTGACCAAATACTTATTTTCCACCATCATTTGCAAATAAATTCATAAAAAATCCTACAATGTGAGTTTCTGGAATTTTTTTCCTCATTTTGTCTGTCATAGTTGACGTGTACATATGATGAAAATTACAGGCCTCTCTCATCTTTTTAAGTGGGAGAACTTGCACAATTGGTGGCTGACTAAATACTTTTTTCCCCCACTGTATATATATATTTTTTTATACTGGCCCCCCGTGGGAATCGAACCCACAACCCTGGCGTTGCAAACGCCATGCTCTATCAACTGAGCTACATCCCTGCCGGCCATTCCCTCCCCTACCCTGGACGACGCTGGGCCAATTGTGCGCCGCCCATGAGTCTCCCGGTCGCGGCCGGCTGCGACAGAGCCTGGATTCGAACCAGGATCTCTAGTGGCACAGTTAGCACTGCGATGCAGTGCCTTAGACCACTGCGCCTCTTAGACCACTGCGCCTCTTCCAGGCAGAGACCTTCAGCTTTGACTCTGAGATAGCCTCGCAGAACTTTGAGGCAGTCTCTTTGTCATGGCCAAGGACTCCACCTCAGCCACCTCAAGCAGTCTCCTCTATGATGAGCTCAGCCGCCTCAAGCCGAGTCTCCTTGATGACGGGCTGGTTGATCAGGGAGGAGGCCACGGTTGCTGTCTGCTCCCTGTAAATGCAGGGCAGAATCTGCTCAGAGCACCCAGAAATTAGTGACTGGGCAGATCTGTCCTGGTTCAGTCGCAAATGAAGTTGAAAGACCAAATGACCTTGTTTCAGACCCTTTTTATACAGTTTAATTTGACGTCATGATAGCGTAATAACCTTTTTTTCCCTTATTTTTTTTTTAGGGGGTAGATCAGCTTTAATATTGCAGATAGATTGTGGCTTCCATCAACGTAATTTTCTGCATAATTTCAAATCCCCCACATATATTTTTTGTAAATATACAAAATATATACAGTGCATTTGGAAAGCATTCAGACCCCTTTACCTTTTCCACATTTTGTTACAGCCTTTTTTTTATAATCTCACCAATCTACACACAATACCCTATAATGACAACGTGAGAACAGGTTTTTAGAAATGTTTGCAAATGTTTAAAAAATCAAAAACAGAAATACCTTATTTACATAAGTATTCAGACCCTTTGCTATGAGACTCAAAATTGAGCTCAGGTGCATCCTGTTTCCATTGATCATCCTTGAGATGTTTCCACAACTTTTTTTTTTTTTTTCATTTGATTTGATTTAATTATTTTTATTTGTTCGTTTTTAATTTTTTCTTATTTGTTTTTTATTTTTATTTTTTTGGGGGGAATGGATCAGCTTAATATTGCAGATAGATTGTATCTTCTATCAATGTAATTGTCTGCATCACTTCCAATCCCCCATGTTTTTTTAGTTTTTTTTTAATATATATATACTCCCCTTTATTACTTTTCAACCCCGCCATCCTTTCCCTACTTGGAGTAAATTAGTGAACAACAATGCCCAGGCCTCTACTTCCGGTCTATACTTACTATCTACACCTTATGGACACAGTTAATTTTACAATAATTCTATTATATATATATATATATATATATATATATATATATATATATATATATATATATATATATATATATATATTTTTTGCTCCTGAACTTCTTCTACTCTCAACCTCTCCGATCATTTTCATGATGTCCATCCGGTTTGCTTCTCTATGCCATATCTTTCTAACTGTGCTCTTTCCCAAAAGCTCCCAACACACAACCTATATACTTATTATGGACACAGTATGCTTACATTATTAGCTATCTTTGTTATTATTTGTTGTTATTTGTTATTAGTCCCATCCTTCAACTCTATTCAATACCTCCCATCTATCTCTTAACACCATCCATATAGGATTTCTATTTGCCATGTATATTTCAACCGTACTGTGATGTTTTACAAAAGTTCTGAACCTTTCTATTCTCATTGCTTCTACAGATTGTGAATTAAAAATAAACATTTTTGCTAAAAGTATTATTATATTATTGATTGATTGACTATGACTTTTCAGATCACCCAGTAATGCTATCTGCAAGGTTAGTTCCAGGTAAATATTGCAATCCTTTAGCCATTCCTGGACCTGTGTCCAAAAACAAGCTACAAATGGACAGAACCAAAACAAATGATCTAATGATTCTGTCTCTTCACAGCAAAATCTGCAGAGCTGGGAAGATTGTATCCCCCATATAAATAACATTCTATTGGTAGCAAGAATTTTATATAATAATTTAAATTGAAAGATTCTAATTTTTGAATCCGGTGTCGTTTTGCGTGTCAGTTCATAAACACTATGCCATGGGATCGGTACGTCAAAGATCTCTTCCCAACTATTTTGCAATCTATATGGGACGGCTGTCAATCCTTTGGTCCTTAAGTGAAACTGATATACTTTTTTATTTATCACAGTTTTCCTTAACCAATTATGTTCTTTAATGCAAGGCCGACAGACAAGTTCCTTACTTTCTCCCCCTTCCACTTTCCTCTTCCACTTTTGCGGTAAGGCTGCAATTATTTGGTTGTAATTTTGGGTAGAGCAGACATTTCCATATGTTTTTGTTAGCTGCATGTGCGACATAACTCCACCAGTCCTACCGATGATATCATTTACGAAGATTATACCTTTTTTAAACATTCTGTCAAAAAATAAAGGTTTTTTGTCAATTAGTATATTTGAATTTAACCACAATATTTGTTGCATTATTTGTTCTGTCGTTTCTGGAGGATTAAATTGAAATTGCAACCAACTTTCTATGGCTTGTTTTAGAAATAGTGACATTTGGGAGATTATTTCCTTTTCAAATAACTGAAAGTGAGAGGTTGTAATCTGAATAAAGGGAAAAAGGCCTTTCTTGAACATTGGGTGAGACAATCTTACTAATTTGCTTGAGAACCAGTTCGGATTTAAGTATAACTTTTGTATGACTGAAGATTTTAGTGATAGGTCTAATGCTTTAATATTTAATAATTTCTGTCCTCCAAATTCATATTCATTATATAAATATGCTCTTTTAATTTTGTCTGGCTTGCCGTTCCAAATAAAATTGAATATTTTTTTCTCATATAATTTAAAAAATGGTTTGCTAGGCGTAGGCAAGACCATAAGCAAATAGGTAAACTGGGATAATACTAAAGAGTTAATCAGGGTGATTTTTCCACAAATTGACAGGTATTTTCCTTTCCATGGTAGTAAGATCTTATCTATTTTTGCTAACTTTCTATTAAAATGTATTGAAGTGAGATCATTTATTTCCTTTGGGATATGTATTCCGAGTATATCCACATCACCATCAGACCATTTTATTGGTAAACTACATGGTAATGTAAAAATTGTATTTTTTAGTGATCCAATACGTAATATAGTACATTTGTCATAATTTGGTTGTAATCCAGAGAGGTTAGAAAATGTATCTAGATCCTCTATGAGGCTGTGGAGGGATTCTAGTTGTGGATCTAAAAGAAAACATGAATCATCTACGTACAATGACACCTTTGTTTTTAAGCCCTGTATTTCTAATCCTCTGATATTATTATTGGATCTGATTTTAATAGCTAACATCTCGATGGCCACAATAAATAGATATGCCGATAGTGGACAACCTTGTTTCACTCCTCTTGACAGTTTAAAACTTTCTGAGAAATAGCCATTATTTACTGTTTTACACCTAGGGTTACTATACATGATTTTGACCCATTTTATAAGAGATTCTCCAAAATTGAAATGCTCCAGGCATTTATATATAAACCCCAGTCGAACTTTATCAAATGCCTTTTCGAAGTCTGCTATGAATAGCAGGCCTGGTTTCCCATATTTTCCATAGTGTTCTATTGTTTCCAATACTTGCCTTATATTATCTCCAATGTATCTTCCATGTAAAAAACCTGTCTGATTAGAATGAATAATATCCGACAATACCTTTTTAATTCTATGCGCTATACATTTTGCTAGGATTTTTGCATCACAACACTGAAGTGTAAGGGGCCTCCAATTTTGTAAATGGACTGGATCTTTATATTTTCCACTTGTATCCTGTTTCAGTAATAATGAGATCAGATCTTCTTGAGTGTCAGATAATCTACCATTTACATAGGAGTGGTTAAAACCTGCTAATAACGGTCCTCTTAGTATATCAAAAAAGGTTTGGTATACCTCGACTGGTATGCCATCCAACCCTGGAGTTTTCCCGGACTTAAAGTCTTTAATTGCATCCAGAAGTTCCTCCTCTGTAATTTCACCTTCACATGAGTCTTTCTGTGTGGCTGTTAATTTGACATTATCAATAGAAAAAAAATCTCTACAATTAGCTTCAGTTAGAGGAGATGGAGGCGACTGAAAAGAAAACATATGCTTAAAGTACTTTGTTTCTTCCTTCAAAATATCATTTGGTGAATTATGGGTGACTCCGTCAATTGTAACCAGTTTCATTAAGTTCTTTTTGGTAGCATTCCTATGTTGAAGATTAAAAAATAATTTTGTGCATTTTTCCCCATATTCCATCCAGTTTGCTTTATTTTTATAATATATTACACTTGATCTTTCTTGAATAAGTTTCTCCATTTATTTTTGTTTTTCCTCTAATTTATTCTGAGCCTCTATGTTACAGTTTTTATTGCCATCTATCTGTTCTGTTAGACTTTCTATTTCCTTTCTTAGTATAAACTCTTTTGACCTAAATTGCTTTTGTTTTCGAGATGAGTACTGAATTGCATGGCCTCTAAAGGCACATTTAAAGGTGTCCCATACAATAAGGGGATTCGCTGTACCTATGTTATGTTGGAAAAAGTCAGTTATAAATTCCTTTTTTCTAATTATAAATAAATTATCATCCAATAGGCTTTGATTAAATTTCCAATATCCTCGCCCACGTGGAAATTCAGTAAGAGTAATGTATATGCCTATTATATAATGGTCCGACCGCATTCTGTCCCCTATCAACACTTTTTTTTACTTTTGGTGCCAACGAGAATGAGATAAGAAAGAAGTCAAGACGACTAGCTTGATTCAGTCTCCGCCATGTATATCTCACTAGATCAGTATATTTAAGCCTCTATATATCTACTAGTTCTAATGTATCCATGACATTCACAATTTCCTTAAGAGCATGTGGGTGATTGTTTGTGGTGTGATTTCCTTTACGGTCCATTGAGCTATTTAAAACAGTATTATAATCCCCCACCATAATAATATTGTTGAGTTGCTTGCAGGCTTGATAATTTATTATATATATTGTCAAAGAATTGTGGATCATCATTATTTGGTCCGTAAAGATAAATGAGCCATATCTGTTTATGGTCCAATAACATATTTAAAATAATCCATCTACCTTGGGTATCTATTTGGACAATTTGCACATTCGGATCGAAATTACTATTAATTAATATCATCACCCCTTTTGAATTTCTTTGCCCATGAGATGTTTCCACAACTTGATTGGAGTCCATCTGTGGTAAATTCAATTGATTGGATATGATTTGGAAAGGCACACACCTGTCTATATAAGGTCCCACAGTTGACAGTGCATTTCAGAGCAAAAACTAAGCCATGAGGTCGAAGGAATTATCCTAGAGCTCCGAGACAGGATTGTGTCGAGGCACAGATCTGGGGAAGGGTACCAAAAAATTGCAGCATTGAAGGTCCCCAAGAACACAGTCGCCTCCATCATTCTTAAATGGAAGAAGTTTGGAACCACCAAGACTCTTCCTAGAGCTGGCCGCCCGGCCAAACTGAGCAATCGGGGGAGAAGGGCCTTGGTCAGGGAGGTGACCAAGAACCCGATGGTCACTCTGACAGAGCTCCAGAGTTCCTCTGTGGAGATGGGAGAACCTTCCAGAAGGACAACCATCTCTGCAGCACTCCACCAATCAGGCTTTTATGGTAGAGTGGCCAGACAGAAGCCACTCCTCAGTAAAAAGCACATGACAGCCCGCTTGGAGTTTGCCAAAAGGCACCTAAAGGACTCGCAGACCATGAGAAACAAGATTCTCTGGTCTGATTAACCCAAGACTGAACTCTTTGGCCTGAATGCCAAGCGTCACGTCTGGAGGAAACCTGGCACCATCCCTACGGTGAAGCATGGTGGTGGCAGCAGCATCATGCTGTGGGGATGTTTTTCAGCAGCAGGGACTGGGAGACTAGTCAGGATCGAGGGTAAGATGAACGGAGCATCCTTGATGAAAACCAGCTCCAGAGTGCTCAGGACCTAAGACTGGGGCAAAGGTTCACCTTCCGACAGGACAAAGACCCTAAGCACACAGCCAAGACAACGCAGGAGTGGCTTCGGGACAAGTCTCTGAATGTCCTTGAGTGGCCTAGCCAGAGCCTGGACTTGAACAAGATCAAACATCTCTGGAGATACCTGAAAATAGTTGTGCAGCAACGCTCCCCATCCAACCTGACAAAGCTTGAGAGGATCTGCAGAGAAGAATGGGAGAAACTCCCCAAATACTTATGTAAATTTATGCTTTGTCATTATGGGGTATTGTGTGTAGATTGATGAGGGAAATTTTTTTTTTAGAATAAGGCTGTAACATAACAAAATGTGGAAAAGGTCAAGGGGTCTGAATAATTTCCAAATGCACTGTTTATATTTTTATATATTTTTCTTTATTATTTTCCCCTAACCCTACCTCCCCTCCCCTAATTGGAGTACACTAATGGACAACAACACTTAGGCTTTACTTCCAGCTTATTCATACTATATACATTTTACAGACACAGTATATTTTACAATAGTTATGTTTTGGTTGTTTTTAGTCCCATCCTTCAGCTACCCCCAACCCCTCTCATATATCTCTGAACACCATCCAGTTTTGATTTCTATTTGCCATATACTGTATTTTTCAACTCTGCTGTGATGTTTCACAAAAGTTCTGAACCTTTCCATTCTCATAGTTTCTACAGATTGTAAATTAAAGATAAACATTTTTGCTAAGAGTATTATTATTATATTATTGACCAATTGACTATGACTTTTCAGATCACCAGCAGTGCTATTTGCAGAGTTAACTCCAGGTAAATGTTGCAATTCTTCAGCCATTCCTGAACCTGCGACCAAAAACAAGCTACATATGGACAGTACCAAAACAAATGATCTAATGATTCGGTCTCTTCGCAGCAGAATCTGCAGAGCTGGGTTTGTTGTATCCCCCATATATACAGTGGGGGAAAAAAGTATTTAGTCAGCCACCAATTGTGTATGTTCTCCCACTTAAAAAGATGAGAGAGACCTGTAATTTTCATCATAGGGACACGTCAACTATGACAGACAAATTGAGAAAAAAATCAGGAAAATCACATTGTAGGATTTTTTATGAATTTATTTGCAAATTATGGTGGAAAATAAGTATTTGGTCACCTACAAACAAGCAAGATTTCTGGCTCTCACAGACCTGTAACTTCTTCTTTAAGGGGATTCTCTGTCCTCCACTCGTTACCTGTATTAATGGCACCTGTTTGAACTTGTTATCAGTATAAAAGACACCTGTCCACAACCTCAAACAGTCACACTCCAAACTCCACTATGGCCAAGACCAAAGAGCTGTCAAAGGACACCAGAAACAAAATTGTAGACCTGCACCAGGCTGGGAAGACTGAATCTGCAATAGGTAAGCAGCTTGGTTTGAAGAAATCAACTGTGGGAGCAATTATTAGGAAATGGAAGACATACAAGACCACTGATAATCTCCCTCGATCTGGGGCTCCACGCAAGATCTCACCCCGTAGGGTCAAAATGATCACAAGAACGGTGAGCAAAAATCCCAGAACCACACGGGGGGACCTAGTGAATGACCTGCAGAGAGCTGGGACCAAAGTAACAAAGCCTACCATCAGTAACACACTACGCCGCCAGGGACTCAAATCCTGCAGTGTCAGACGTGTCCCCCTGCTTAAGCCAGTACATGTCCAGGCCCGTCTGAAGTTTGCTAGAGTGCATTTGGATGATCCAGAAGAGGATTGGGAGAATGTCATATGGTCAGATGAAACCAAAATAGAACGTTTTGGTAAAAACTCAATTCGTCGTGTTTGGAGGACAAAGAATGCTGAGTTGCATCCAAAGAACACCATACCTACTGTGAAGCATGGGGGTGGAAACATCATGCTTTGGGGCTGTTTTTCTGCAAAGGAACCAGGACGACTGATCCGTGTAAAGGAAAGAATGAATGGGGCCATGTATCGTGAGATTTTGAGTGAAACCTCCTTCCATCAGCAAGGGCATTGAAGATGAAACGTGGCTGGGTCTTTCAGCATGACAAACACACCGACCGGGCAACGAAGGAGTGGCTTCGTAAGAAGCATTTCAAGGTCCTGGAGTGGCCTAGCCAGTCTCCAGATCTCAACCCCATAGAAAATCTTTGGAGGGAGTTGAAAGTCCGTGTTGCCCAGCGACAGCCCCAAAACATCACTGCTCTAGAGGAGATCTGCATGGAGGAATGGGCCAAAATACCAGCAACAGTGTGTGAAAACCTTGTGAAGACTTACAGAAAACTTTTGACCTGTGTCATTGCCAACAAAGGGTATATAACAAAGTATTGAGAAACTTTTGTTATTGACCAAATACTTATTTTCCACCATAATTTGCAAATAAATTCATAAAAAATCCTACAATATGATTTTCTGGAAAGAAAATTCTCATTTTGTCTGTCATAGTTGACGTGTACCTATGATGAAAATTACAGGCCTCTCTCATCTTTTAAGTGGGAGAACTTGCACAATTGGTGGCTGACTAAATACTTTTTTTCCCCCACTGTATAACATTCTATTGGTTGCAAGAATTTTGTATAATCATTTAAATTGAAAAACTCCAAGTTCTGAATATTGTTTACTTCAAAATACATTTATCGATTGATAGATTGCGCCTACATTTGCTGCTACAGTTCAGGCCTAGACAACTATACAACACAAAAACTGTCATTCAGGAAATCAAATAATTAAATTAAAGCATTTCATTATCTTTAAACTCACAACATTAATTAAGCCTACATTAAAGGAGACCTTTTCTTTGGTTCAACTGAACAGCGACACAGGCAATAGGTAACAAATAAACATATATAACTTGTTTTTAAGAAGATGTATTTAATTCAGATGTACAGGGACAAAATACAAGTACAACACCTCTTGTTTCTTGAGTTGTAAAGTGAGCAAAGGAATTGCAACATACTGTAAAATACTCATGCTGCAACATTACTGGTGCATGTGGGTTGAAACAAGGACATATTAAATACATATTACATACATATAATAACATAGTAGTACTTATCAATAGGCTAGGCCCAGGTTACCCATCCTAATATAACATCAGGGGGAATCCATGGAAGGACCATGGATGTAGAATAATTGCATTGTCATTTATGCATCTTGTGTAATAGCTAGATATTCTATAATTATAATTACTTCATGGATTTGCAACATTCATAGCATTCTTACCAAGCAGCTCCAGTTAGGCAGGCGTGATGGTATTGTGCCATTATTCATATATTATTACAGTACTAGTGAGACAGTCTCCAACAGTCACTTCCACTATTTGTTCTTGAACTTCAATACACTTGTGTTCCTTCAAATTTCTCATACAGGAGAAGTTCTTCCTGCATTTGGAACAGTTGTATGGTTTTTCCCCAGTGTGCACTTGCTGGTGAGCCTTGAGATTGTTCGCTTGGCTGAACGTCTTCCCACACACAAGGCAGAGAAACGGTTTCTCCCCAGTGTGCACACGTTTGTGGCGAACAAGGTTCTGTGCAAAACTGAAGCTCTTCCCACACAGGTCACAGGTATGAGGCCTCTCTCCAGTGTGAGTGCGTAGGTGAAGATCGAGGAAACGCTGTTTGGCGAAGTGCTTCTCACACATGGTGCAGCTGAATGGTTTCCCTTCAGTGTGAATGAGCCGGTGACTGTTATAGTAACTCAGGGAGCTGTATCCTTGTTGACATATATCACAGGTAAACGGCTTCTTGCCTGTGTGGACCCGACGATGAGTTTTGAGATTGGTAGCAGTGTGGAAATTCTTTCCGCATTCTTCACAAGAGTGAGATTTTTTCTCTGTGTGTATCACCTGGTGCCTTTTCAGATAGTTTGCAGACCGGTAGCATTTTCCACACTCTGAGCAGTCATAGGGTTTGTCCCCACTGTGTATCTTCTGGTGGATCATCAGAGAACTCTTTTGGTTGAAGCCCTTTCCACATATGTCACATACAAACGTTTTCTCACCTGTGTGAATGCGCTGGTGGACTTTGAGATGACTAGCTTGAGTGAAACTCTTCTGGCATATGTCACAGGTGAATGATTTAACGCCAGAGTGAGTCTGCTGGTGTCTGCGGAGGTTAGGCGCTAAACTAAAACATTTGCCACAGATCTCACAGCTAAATGCTTTCTCACCAGTGTGAACTATGTGGTGGGTATTAAGTACACTTTTCAGGCTGAAGCCTTTTCCGCATTGATCACATATGTAGGGTTTCTCTCCTGTATGGGTCCTTTGGTGAGCCTTGAGGCCACTTCTCTGGCTGAATCTATTGCCACATATGTCACAGCTGAAAGGTCTCTCTCCTTTGTGTACAGTCAGCACATGTACATTTAAACTTCGTCTAGCTGTAAAAGACTTCCCACATGTTGTACACTTAAATGGTCTTTCTCCTGTGTGTACACCCTGGTGTACTATCATATCTCTCTGCCTGGCAAAAACCTTCCCACACTGAGAGCAATTGAATCTCTTCTCTCCTCTGTGTACAGCTATTCTGTGAGCTTTGAGGCTACATTTTGCAGGGAAAGCCTTAGCACACAAAGTACATCTTAATACCTTCCCTTTCTCTCCTTTGAAAACCATCTGGTGTTCGTTAAGCTGGCTCTGGGTGCCAAATATCTTCCCGCAGTATGTGCACTTGAATCGCTTCTCCCTTTTGTGCACTATAACATGGTGTACTTTGAGACTGCACTTTGCTGTAAAGCCCTTCCCGCACTGCGTGCACTTAAATGGCCTCTCACCCGTGTGGACAACCTGGTGGGCTTTCAGGTTACTTAGTTTACTAAAAGCCTTCCCACACTGTACACAGCTTAAACATTTGTCTCCTTTGACAGATTTCTGGCCCTTTGTGCGTCTCACCACACGCAGTCTCATTTGATGTACTGTGGGAGCCACCATCTTAGCATCATTGGATATGTCTGTGGGTGCAGCAGGCTGTAAGTCTTGGTCCTCTTGAGCCTTTGCTGGTGAGAGTGGTGTAGTAATCTCTTCCTCCAAGTTGTGGTCAATAGTAGCATCCTCCCCAGCCTCTGTCCTGGATTCTCCATCTGGGCAGTAGATATTCAATATTATTATCACTGCTGTTGTGCTGCAGTTCCAGCATTTAATTTAAACTTTCTAAAAAGTTCTGAATATAAGATGTAATGCAGTCAGTTGTCTACATTCAGACCATTCTGAATGTCGTGAAAGGTGACTTCATAACTACTTACCTGCGTCCTCATGTGTGTGTCCTGTCTGGGTGTCCTGTAGCAGTGTATCCTCCTTCAACGTGATCCATTCAGCACTTTCCTCCTCCGTCTCTGAAGACTAGATGTGAAATAATTAATCAGTGGAAAGTATCCTTCCCCAAACACACACACACACACTCTGACCTCCAACATAGGCAAGCTACATTCCTTGAATAGCAACTAATTTGCATCTTTATTCATATTCAAGAAATTGGTGACCAGATATGGATATATGGGAGCTTACCATGCCACTGTTGACTTCAGACAAGCGCTCAAATTTAGTCACGTCTGTTCCTTGGGTCTTCCTGTCCTCTGCACCCTCCTCTCCAAGCCCTCTAGTCGTCCTCAGGTCCCCATCCATCAACTGGAGATTCTCCTTCAGAACCTGATTATCTCTCTGACTCACTGACACTTGCAGACGCAGGGAAGCTGTATCCTCATCAATGAGACTAATTATTTTTTGCATGGCCTCTTTGCACAATCTCTTCATGATGGCAGACAGCTGTATATGGAGAAGACACAAACATATTACACTGACTCTTTTCTTATCTTCCTAGCTAGCTAGTCTCAATGCCAATTTTCTGACCCAAGACATTTGACATGATAATGTCAAACAAACAATTAACGTTAGCTACCCATACAATTTATCCTATGTTACACACACTTCCGTGCCAACACAATGCTAGCTGGTTAGCTAGACAAATGTAAACACTGCTTGTGACACACTTACCTCAGTCCCAGGGCCAATGCACTGCCTCTGTGAATCGGTGTAAACGTTTTGACTCGTGCACAATTTACTTATTTCCACCACGGCTGCATTTACTAAAAGCCCCATGACCGTGGCCAGTTGATCCTTTACACGTGACATTTTCCCTGAGATTTAAAAGCCTACATTTAGACAAATATAACGTTATGATTACGCAGTAGATGCTGTCACATTTTGATTTACTAGCTAACTATTTTATTCAACAAGATGACATCGGCAACACTAAAAACGTACTTCCGGGTCACGGAATTTCAGAAACGTTCGAAATAAAAGTCCCACACGTAATAGTAGGAAAGTGTCAATATCCTGTATTTATTCATGATATAAGAAAAACAATTGTCTAAACATTAACAATAATTCATTTGCATTACATTTGGGTTTTAAAACATGTTCCAAAGTCAAATAAATTCCATCAATGTGAATCACTGTATATGGAATACATATTCTGGGTGCCGCAGTAAAAGTACTGTATGGAATACTCAGTAGGGTCTGTAGAATCTATATATGGTGCCATTTCATGGGGGACTGAATAATATGGAGTGTTGCTGGCCTTTTACTCCACCTATTCCATTGGATACAATGTGAATCACTGTATACAGAATACATATTGGCTTATAGAGCAAAAACTATTCTAGGAGCCGCAGTAAAGGTATTGTAGGGAATACTCAGTAGGGTCTGTAGAATCTATATATGGTGTTATTTCATGGGGGACTGAGGTTTATATGCCCAGCAACACTTTCTACTCCACCCACTCAGAAATATGTGGTCGGCATTTTAAAAAGTTCTCATGGGTAGGCCTATTTGCACCGCAGAGAAGCAGGGTCCAGAAAAGTCGAATCCGCAGCTTCAACCTTTTAGAAAACAGTAGCAGTATTGGTGTTAATGTGTGCTTTTCTCTAAAGCAGTCTAATGAGAGGGCAATGTGGATACACTTTTTCAAAATGGCATGGGAGACTATGTTTTACATGATTTATCAGATAGGAAATGACTTAGTTGAAAGAAGTTAAGATTTTACGCTTGAATGATACAGCAGACTGATGAAATGAAGCTATATGCTTAGTAATGAAATGATATTTAAATATAAATGTGTTATTTATTCATGTAGTGGTGGGCACCAATAGAGATAATTTGATATTATATCGATAGCGTTTGATATCAATATGAGCAACGCATTTCCGGAAAGTTAATGTTGTTGAAAGATTACACAAAATAGTTTTATAACTAACCCAAGATAGACCACAGACTGTCGTTTCAAATGGGAAGAAGTGAAATATAGTGGGCAGAACAAGCAAGAAGGGGTGCAGAGCCAAGCATGAGCTAGCGAGATCTTATTGGCGCGTTTTAGCATGTATTTGCGCATTTCCGTTAGGGAACGCCTACTCTGTGTAGTGCGCGTGTGCAATAACTCTATTCGCACATGCACTCCTTCTGAACAACGCAATTTTTTGTTAAACTTTGGCAAAGGGTCAAGTCTACAAAACTTAGTCCACTCTGTTTGTAACCGATTTTAGTTTTGGGAACAGAAAACTGTATTGAGATCAAATGTTTCATCGATTAGAAAATGCTTCACATTTATACATCCGGTGAAATAGGCTATCTGGCTCTTTTTCTATCTATAATGATACCGCAATGAAGCAGGGAAGAATAACTAAGGACTTCCGGGTCACGGATTTTTAAAATATTTTTTCTTCTTCTCTGGTATAATGGCGTTCATAACTGTGTGGGTGGATAATAAAGATCCCAAAAAGGAAATAATGCGGCGTAAAAAAAATATTCATACAAATTATCAAAAATAAACTTAAACTAAGCAAAATCAACTTGCTTTTCTGTTAATATTCTAATCAGGTCCCTACACTGGCTCAGAAGGATCCTGTGAAGGCGGGACATTTTCTGGAGACAGTCGTTTTTGCAGTGCTTCTGCCATGAAGTCTTTGAGCCTAAAAAACGTTTCAGCTGCAGATACAATGATGTCCAGCTTCTTGAATTCTACAATTAATAACTGTGGCTATAAATGCTACAAAACCCACCTTCTTCACAATGAGTGTATCCAGATCACTTGATTGCCGTAAAACATTTGCAACTGGTTGCCGTGCACCATATCTTCTCCAGCACTGTGGCCTCTTGCCCCTTCCACTCTCTTTACCGCCTCCACATACGAGATCTGCCATACAGCCCTGATCCTTGACACCTCGACCTCTTTCACCCTAACATGTTACAAGGGGGTAACTAGCCCCCTGGGGTAACCACAAGATGTCACCAACTTATTTCCCCCAACACTTTCCCTGGCTGACACTGCTCTTGCTCAACAAAAACTTTTCCTCTGTGTCATCACAACTTTTGGAGATATTTAAACAAAACAATTTTGTGGAAAGTTGATCTAATTTTTGGAAATTTGCAGTGCAGGAGGTGGGCTCATGAGTTGTGCTCCAATTTGACTGGGGATAGCTTTATTTGTGACCTACAGTGAGGGAAAAATGTATTTGATCCCCTGCTGATTTTGTATGTTTGCCCACTGACAAAGAAATGATCAGTCTATAATTTTAATGGTAGGTTTATTTGAACAGTGAGAGACAGAATAACAACAAAAAAATCCAGAAAAACGCATGTCAAAAATGTTATAAATTGATTTGCATTTTAATGAGGGAAATAAGTATTTGACCCCTCTGCAAAACATGACTTAGTACTTGGGGGCAAAACCCTTGTTGGCAATCACAGAGGTCAGAAGTTTCTTGTAGTTGGCCACCAGGTTTGCACACATCTCAGGAGGGATTTTGTCCCACTCCTCTTTGCAGATCTTCTCCAAGTCATTAAGGTTTCGAGCCTGACGTTTGGCAACCTCTCTGGATTACAACCGAGTTATGATAAGTGCACCATATTATGTATTGGATCGCAAAAAAACACAACTTTTACGTTACCGTGTAGTTTACCAATAAAATGGTACGATGGTGAAGTGGACATACTCGGTATTGATATCCCAAAAGAAAGAAATGATCTCACTACATTATATTTTAATAAAAAGTTTGCCAAATTAGATAAGATCTTGATACCATGGAAAGGACAACACCTGTCTCTTTTTTGAAAAATCATCCTGATTAATTATTCAGTCATATCCCAACTTACCTATTTACTTATGGCCCTGCCTACAGCTAATAAAAAAATATTCCACTTTATTTGGAACAGCAAGCCAGACAAAATTAAATGGGCCTATTTATATGATGAATATGAATTCGGAGGGCAGAAATGATTAAATATTAAAGCATTGGACCTCTCACTAAAGGCTTCAGTCATACAAAAACTATACTTAAATATGAACTGGTTCTCTAGCAGATTAGTAAGAATGGCTCACCCCATGTTCAAGAATGGCCTTTTCCCCTTCATTCAGATTTCAACCTCTCACTTTCGGTTAATTGAAAATGAAATAATCTCCAAAATATAGCTATTTTAAAACAAGCCATAGAAAGCTGGTTGCAATTTCAGAACAAATATTACAACAAATGTTATGGTTAAACTCAAATAATACTAATTGATAAAAAAACAATATTTTGGGATTTTAAAAAACGGTATAATCTTTGTAATGATATAATAAATAGGACTGGTGGAGTTAACTAAAATAAATGGAAATGTCTGCTCTATCCAAAATTACAACCAACTGATTGCAGCATTACCGCAAAAATGGAGGAGGCAAGTGGAAGGAACTTATCATTCGGCCCTGCATTAAAGACCAAAATTGGTAAAAGAAAATTGTGATAATAAAAAAGTATACCAGTTTCATTTAAGGACCAAAAAATTGACATATACTGTAGGTTGCAAAATAGTTGGGAGGAGGTTTTCGATGTACCGATTCCATGGCACATGTTTATGAACTGATACACAAAACGACAGCAGAGTCTAAACTTAGTTTTTCAATTTATATGATTATACAAAATTCTTGCAACCAATAGAATGTTATATATATGGGGGATGCAACCATCCCAGCTCTGCAGATTTTGCTGCAAAGAGACAGAATCATTCGATCACTTGTTTTGGTGCTGCCCATATGTAGCATGTTTTGGTCACAGGTTCATTAATGGCTGAAAAATTGCAACATTTCTAACTCTGCAAATAGCACTACTGGGTGATTTGAAAAGTCATAGTCAGTCGATCAATAATATAGTAATACTCTTAGCAAAAAATGCTATCTTTAATTTACAGTGGCTTGCGAAAGTATTCACCCCCTTGGCATTTTTCCTATTTTGTTGCCTTACAACCTGGAATTAAAATTGATTTTTTGGGGGTTTGAATCATTTGATTTGCACAACATGCCTACCACTTTGAAGATGCAAAATAAAAAAAATGGTGAAACAAACAAGAAATAAGACAAAAAAAACAGAAAACTTGAGCGTGCATAACTATTCACCCCCCCCCAAAGTCAATACTTTGTAGAGCCCCCTATGCAGCAATTACAGCTGCAAGTCTCTTGGGGTATGTCTCTATAAGCTTGGCACATCTAGCCACTGGGATTTTTGCCCATTCTTCAAGGCAAAACTGCTCCAGCTCCTTCAAGTTGGATGGGTTCCGCTGGTGTACAGCAATCTTTAAGTCATACCACAGATTCTCAATTGGATTGAGGTCTGGGCTTTGACAAGGCCATTCCAAGACATTTAAATGTTTCCCCTTAAACCACTCAAGTGTTGCTTTAGCAGTATGCTTTGGGTCATTGTCCTGCTGGAAGGTGAACCTCTGTCCCAGTCTCAAATCTCTGGAAGACTGAAACAGGTTTCCCTCAAGAATTTCCCTGTATTTAGCACCATCCATCATTCCTTCAATTCTGACCAGTTTCCCAGTCCCTTCCGATGAAAAACATCCTCACAGCATGATGCTGCCACCACCATGCTTCACTGTGGGGATGGTGTTCTCGGGGTGATGAGAGGTATTGGGTTTGCGCCAGACAAAGCGTTTTCCTTGATGGCCAAAAAGCTCAATTTTAGTCTCATCTGACCAGAGTACCTTCTTCCATATGTTTGGGTAGTCTCCCACATGCCTTTTGGTGAACACCAAACATGTTGCTTATTTTTTTCTTTAAGCAATGGCTTTTTTCTGGCCACTCTTCTGTAAAGCCCAGCTCTGTGGAGTGTATGGCTTAAAGTGGTCCAATGGACAGATACTCCAATCTCCGCTGTGGAGCTTTGCAGCTCCTTCAGGGTTATCTTTGGTCTCTTTGTTGCCTCTGTGATTAATGCCCTCCTTGCCTGGTCTGTGA